AAAAAAAAAAAAAAAAAAAAAAGGAAGATATGAAATATTTCCTCTTCCTCATAAACCAATGCTCATAGGTTAACAATAACTTGCTTCTGTAGGCAAAAATGAACTTCAGAAGATAAAAACTTGATTATATTTTCATAGTTTAGAGTTTCAGCGTAACTAAAATTTTTAGCAATAGGATACAGCTCACTCAGAGGAATAGACACAGCTTCAACCCAAGTGAAGGCTGCTGCTTAAGAAATCAAGTCTTTGCTGGGGATATAGCTCAGTGGCATAAGCACCTGCCTGGCAAGCACAATGTCCTAAGTTCAACCCCCGGTACCACAAGAAATCAAGTCTTTCACAGAGTACTAACACAGACAAAGCCATAGTAATATAGCACTTAATATCAGAGAAAGAAAACTACATGCAAAATAATTTTCATTCCTATCTTAAACTTAAAAGGGTTAATGGCCACTTTCTTGATACAATTTTAAACATACTGTATATCAAAGTATATCTTATGACATATCTGTGATATTTCTTCATGAATTTCTTGCCATAGAGAAAATATTATAATAGATGAGCAAGATGGCTTATATTTTAATTCTATGACCACCAGATTTGAAGGGCAAGTGAAAGCTCATCTGTTTCATGCCCTGTGACCTTTACATGTAAGTTATCTAACTTAAGGCTAAATGTAGAAAATAACGTGTAAACAAATGAGTAAATTCTGATTCTATTAAAAGATTCTCTGGTAAACAGCCAATCATATCCCTTTGTCTACAAGGCAGATATCTCCCTTACAAAAACACATTTAAAAAAGGGATTCCTTCATTCATCCTTCTACCACTCCCACCAATCAAAACAAGTCCCATTCAAAGCAGAACATTTAGCTCTCTGTTAGCAACAGAAAGAACACTTCCCCAGCAACAGGAAAATCCGAAAAGGACATCTATTTTTAAAAATAAAACGTGAAGCCCTCAGCATTTTGCTGATTTAGTGAATAAGACAGGGTATAAACTTACCATCCAAAGTCGGTGTCTTACAGATTTCAGGAGTAAAGGGTCTGCTTTTGCATGCCTTTTATTTGATTATTCACCTTTTCTTTGTATGTCTTTTTCTTGACATTTCTGCTGATTTCTCTGTTCGTGGATATTTGCACAAATGGTCACTATAAGGTAGGAGGTGTCTCATTTTAAGTGCGAAAGTGGTAATTCAAGGAATTCATTACCATACACAAAATAGTTCACAGCAGTCTATGTCACATTACTCTGCAGCAAGGTTTTTGCAAGAGGTGGTGATGAATATGTTTGTTGAACAAAAGTGATAGGAAAATGAACTGCAACTTACTGGTTATCCTTAAGTATCACAGTTTTAAAATAGAAAGAAACACTTAGCAGCATTTGATTTCCAACCATGGACCATTTTCTAATGATTAAAATAACAACTCTGTGTATTAATGTAGCAGTATATTAGTGTTAATCTAACTATATGCTTCAGCCTCCTGACTTTACTGTAAGAGAAACTGTGATTTCACTCTTCCTCTGTAAAAATGGAACTAGCCGAGACAACCCTAACTACAGAGAAGTGCTGGGTTTCAACTACGGGTACTGATTCCTTTTCTTATTTCCTCCTTTGTCTGAAAACAAAAATAGGAAATCAAAGGCTAACTGAAAGTTAGGATTTATGTAAAATTGAGGACAGATGGTTGAAAAATGTTAACTTTTTATATTAGCTTAATATATTTAAGTTTACACACGATTGTGAATTACACAAGTCTACATATATATGCATATACATGTATATACACCTAAGTATGATTTTTAAAATATTAGCTGTGCTAACATCCATATAAAATTTAGCGCTTTTTTTATTTTTTATTTTTTTGCGGAACCAGGGATTGAACTCAGGCCCTTGTGCTTGCCAGGGAAGCACTTATTCTACTGAGCCATCTCCCCAGCCCAAAATTTAGCTCTTTAGGCCTCAATTTTCTCACTTGTAAAGTGAGAATAGTAACTGTTTTTACTTTTCAGGGTTCTTATGAAACATATGGAGCCTGGCACATGATAAGAACCTAATAAATATTAGGTAATAGGATATTTTATATATGAGGTATGATAAAAATAAGTGCTTAAGTTTTTAAAAACATTTTATGCTTTTGTGTCTTTAGTGGCACTGTTGTGACTGCCTCTATATGTTTAATCAATTCAAAATCGTCATTTTGACTTAGGGAAGAGCTAGAACTTACCAAGTGGCTGATCTGGTGGGTTCACTGGCTAGGACACACTATATTCAGTGAATAAGGAAACAAAGACATGTCTTTCTATTGGATGGCACTTAGCAGGAGCATTAACTGTATTTTTGTTCATACCTTGTAAAAACACAAGACAGGCTTTCCAGAACTGCTTCAGAGAGTGGCAAGAATGAAGGAGAAGTGTGTTTGAAGTGCAGGAGAATATTTCGAGGGGGATTAATGGCAATTTTTCGGTACTGTAGGAAACTTTATAAAAAACTTTAGACAACACCTATTTTGATCACATCTCGCTTTTGTGTGTTAGTGTGCGTGTGTTTGCATGCATACATGCATATATGCCTCAAATAAATTTATTTAATAAAATCATCAGTTCTTTGGGTCTACAGATAAACATATGAGTACAATTTTGTTATGCACTTTCTTTTATGTTTTACAGTTGTGAAACCGTTCTGTAGGATGCTCTATTGGTAGATATGACAGTGTGCATTTGTCAAAACTCATATAACTTCACAGCATAAAGTGATACAATGTACACAAACAGAAAATCAAGTAGTTTGGAAGATAGGCATACCTTATGAAAAGAATGCAGAATGTTATAAATGTATAGAATAAGCTCACTGAAGGAGTTGAGAGAACAAGTATTAAACTAAATAACTTTGCATACAATGCCTTTTAGAAGAATGACAAAAGGAACTACATGTAGACACTGTACTATGATTGAAAAATTTGTTTCCCAAAAAGGCATGGGCTAACAATTCTGATTCTGCTGTAATGTATGCTAAAAATGAAGTACAAGGATGTAGAACCAAATTTAGGAGCCAGATTTTCCTCTGGTGAAGTAGGAATTGCATACATGTAAGGACAGGAAGTTAGAATGATCCTCTGGTAATGGATTAGAGTCGGAGAAGCATTATGAACTCATGTTCAGCTTACTATAGATCGAAATAGTTACATATGGAAATATTTTCAGATAGATGTATACCTAAAGGTTAGTATGTAGCTTTGCTGCAAAGATGTCAAAGAAAAACATTCCAAACAGCAAATAGTACTTGTAGATCCTACATCTTGGTTTCTAATACAAATCTCCAATAAAAGGAACCAAGGTTTCTTAGAGAAGTGGCTGAGTTTAGGACTGGGGCATGTTAATTGCAGAAGGAAAGAAATGCTCAAAAAGAAAAACAAGAAACCATCCCACAATGAAGGGAATATATTAAAGGGACAGGGAACAACTGAAAGAGCTCCAGTGACCAAAGTTAGGACAATCTGAGCAACAAAGTAAGCAAACTAGTAGTGGGTTATACCCAATATAGAAAATATTTATGGATTCATGCTCATGTACTTACTAAATAATAAAAAATGGAAAAGAGACACATCTCTCATGTAAAATAACCTCAAGTTATCTTATACATTCCATTCTGAAAAGCAGCATAAATTCCCATTCTCTCACTGTGGGCTGTGCATAGTGACTTTTATTTCCCAAGGAGTACTGTATAAAAAGTGGGGAAAGAGTAACATTTCAGTTGCGAAACTTAACAAACACGACCATAGTCAGGTGAAGAAAGGTCAATATCAACAGTGATAGCCAGGTATGGTGGTGCAATCCTGTAAACCCAGTTACTCTGGAAGGTGAAGCAAGAGGATCCTAAGTTAGAGGACAGTCTGGACAACTTGGTGAGACCTCTTTTCAAAATAAAAGACTGGGGACACAACTCATTGGTACAAAAGCAATGACACCTAAGCTCTAAGGATAATAAAATCAACAGCAATGGCCTTTTACATATATTCAATACAAAATATGTACTTTAGTGGCTGGCCCATAATCAAAAAACAGTATCGATAGTTAAGAAATGTTTGCAAAAGTGACTAGATCTAATTTTTGTAACTTAACAGTATTTTTTTTTTGATAAGTATTGAAGTGCCATTGACCTAGTAAAACATCTCAAGTATGCCACAAACTTTCAGGTATTCATAGTATAGTCCTATTTAAATAATGGAATTGGGGGCCAGGGAGATGGCTGAGTAGAATAAGCGCTTCCCTGGCAAGTGCAAGAGTCTGAGTTCAATCCGTGGTTCCGGGAAAAAAAAAAAAATGGAATTGTTGTAAAGCCTTTGAACATTATTTTATAGACTGCACACTGTTAGCAGTGTCTAATACAAATTTCTGCTTGTCCCTGATCTTCACTCGCTCAACATTTCCTCAAAAATCATCCTGCAAGAAAAAAGCTCTTGTGGTGTTATTAGAAGCTACATGAAAAATCTCTTAAATGTCCAAAGATGTGTGTTTACTATTCCCTACTAAAGCTATAAGATTGGGGCTATCTTGTTATTGTCTATTGTTAGATTGTGACTCTTCTATTGCTAGTGCATTATTTCCATATGAATTTGCACCCTTTAGCTCTAAACCTTGTTCATAAATGTATACTAGTATTTAATGTGTAGGAGGTACAAGATGAAACTAAGAATTCTGCATTATGAAGAAACTTGAGTTAATAAAGTGGCTTAATGTAAAAATATGTATATTTTAAATTAGAGGATTTTGAAAGTTTCACTGCAAAGTAAGAATGTTTGGGCTGATAAATATGCTAATTTTAAATTTCATTATACAGAATAATTTTATAACATAATGTCAATTAAAATAGAACTAAAATGGTCTATATCGAAAGATTTAAATATGACAACCGTTTGACAGATGCAATTCAGGGAGTTAATGCCGTATTTTCTCAGTTTTTCAGAAATGAAGGAGAGCCAATTTGTGACAACCTGAATATGTAGGAGAAATTGTTTTTGTTTCACTACTAAAAAAAGTAGACAAACGGGATATTTACAATCTTCACTTGGAGATTTAAAAATTGTCGGCTTGTTCAGAAAACATTTCACATTTGATTTTTGCTTACCTCTTTTTGACTTCCTGTGTCAATAAGACTGATTGGACACTGTGTTGGCAACTCAAACCTTTTGCAACAACAACTGCAGATGTATTTTTATCATGTGTTTAAGAGAGCTTGTTTGTTTTACATTTCTTATTGACAACCAAAGAGTCCAGTATCTCAGATCTTGTTCCAGGTTTCCTTTGTAACAACTGATATGAATAGGATGTTTTTAAGATCACATGAAATGCAACCGCAGTGAGTACTTATTTTTGTTTTTTAAAATAGATTTTACCGTAAGCATTCTATTTTTCACCTATCTAACTCAATTTCCTTGTAATAGTGTGTCTTACTCACTTTGCTTCCCTTGCTAGCAAATTAACTTTGATTCATGTCTGACATGGATTTGTGAAGGTGAAGAGGAAAGGAATTCCGTCACAGACTTTGTAGCATTGTTGTGGCAGTAGAGGTGATATTTCTGTCACTGCAAGGTAAGAACACAGGATGTCCAAGGTTTAAGTAATCTTTCAACACAAAGGCTTCTCTTTCCTCTTCCCTTTCTCTCTCTCTCTTTTTTTTCTTTGTTGTCAAGCACTGTGTCTCACTATGTAGCCCAGGCTAGCCTTAAACTCATGATCCTCTCATGAGGGCTAGGATTACAGGCATGCATCACTATATCCACCTGGGTTGTTTTAAATTAGTAGTTTTAATAGGAGCTTATATTCTGGTAGAAGACAGATAAGAAAAATTAGTTCTTTATATAAGAAGGTATAACTATTATAGAAAAATCTGTAGCAAAGACGGGAGGATGTGAGGGATGCATGACATTTTAAAAGGGATGGTTAGGGTAGGCTGCCTACATATGTTTGGTGGCAAGATCCTTCCAGCCAAGGCAGAGGCACCAGAGAGGATGGCTTGTTGTTAAGAGGAACAGCGAGCAAGCCTGGTTAGCTGGAACAAATTGTGTAAGAGAAATAAGGTCAGAAAGGTGGGGTGTAGGAAGCCAACCAACCTGGCATTTTTAGGTGGAATACTAGCTGAGGACACTGGGAAGCTAGTGGAAAACCTAGCAATGTTGGCTTGTTCCCAAGTCTACAGACAACTTCTGCTTACTAAAAGCATATGCATGTTGTATCATAGGTTGATTCAAACCTCAAGTTATTTCTACATCTAATTTGCCCCCCTTAAAATAAGTGAAAATGTCTTGCGGCTGGAAAGGGGAAAAAGATGCAGAAAATAAAATTCAATACTCGGGCCAGCCATCTAAATTACACTTTAAGTTCACTCGTTAGTAACTTAAATATTAATGAACCTCTTTTTCTTGTTTTCTTATTTACAAGTTGAAACACAATCTTTTTCCAGGTTCTTTGTCTCTAGTATCTCTTAAGTTTCCCTTAATACCTCAGTGCAGGTTGTATTTTCCAAACTTATTGTCTATTGATGGCTTGATCATTCAATACCAGTAATACATTTTATTGTATTACAGAGGTGAGCATTTTACTGGTCCAGCCATGTGGAAATTATGTACAAAAGACAGATTAAGACAACAAAAACTACTTTGCTACAATTAGTCCAATGGAGCAAAAGTCAGCATTTTCTTTAATTCCGGCAGAACTGCTTAAATGAATCATTTTGTTTTTTTGATGGGGATACACGGGGTAGGTAACATAGGTGTGTAGTGTTTTACTCAGTTTTGAGGAATTTAAGATATATTAAGTAAATAACACCTAACATAGAGTGGTTTTGTGGAGGGAAAAACATTCTAATTAAGGCGAAGGAAGAACTCCTGACAGTTTTTCAAAATGCGTATCTTTTGTAAGAATGGGATGAGCGCATTTTGCTTATTGTGTCTGAAAATGTATTTTTCAATTTCTTTGGAAACTGGGTTCTAACATAAAACAGGGCGCGATTTGACAGCACGTGGAGGTAAGGTACTTCATTCCGATTCGGAAAGAAACCCTCCAACACCGCACACATCTCCCCGTAAAATGGGACTGGTGTCAGCCTCAGGAGCTTTTAAGCACCTCTAATTTCAGTGGGGTCCCATTTGAGGTGGCACTATTTATCACATCTCCTAAAATTTGCTCAGGGCGATACGCAAACACACTAAAAGTAAATGCTGTAGAGACAGCAGAAAAAGCAAAACCTGCACTGATTTATTCTAAAGGCCTCTTACGTGGAGCAAACCTGAGCCCCGGCGTTACTGTGCAGGTGCCGGCGCTGGCGCACCACCTAATCAGCAGCGGTGCTCGCGGCTCGCAGGGCCGGGGTCACCGTAAAGCCGATACGCCCGTATCACATCCGCAACCTGTCGCGCACCCCTGTGGAGAACTCACTGAGGATTGGTAGAGACAGAGGAAAGTTTCTGTCAAAGTTTCAGACGGGAGAACTGCGCGGGAGCAGTTTCAGATCACCCGCGGAGCCCAGGCGGTGCAGGAAGCCGACTATCCCCGCCAGCCTCCGGTCGCCGCGGGATGGAAGCTTCCCCTCCAGGAAACCTTCGTCCTTCTTCCCGAGGCGCCCGCGGGCCGCAGCGCCGCCAGTCCAAGGGTCGGCCTCTGCCAGTGTCGCTCCTCCCCAGGGCTGGCCAAGCCCGGCGCGGGGACGACGAGCGACCTCCGCGGCACCGGGCGCCGGAGCCCACGCGACCCCGGCAGTTGGGCTCGTCCCTATCCCCGGTGGCCGCAACCTGGTCCCAGCGCCCGGCCCCCCGACTCGCGCTCGGGGCGTCCAGTGGGCGGCTCAGCGCCCGCCCCGGCCCCTCCGCGCGCCGGCGCTATGGAGACGGTCACGAGACGCCGGCGGCCTCCGCGTCGGCCAATGGGAGCGCACGTCGCGGGGGGACGCGGACGTCGCTCTTCCAAGATGGCGGCGCGTCCGTCGCCAGCAGCTGGGCCGGGGGGAAGCCAGCGAAGCCGAGTAAAGCCGCCGCCCGGGAGGAGACTGAAGGAGCAGCTGCCGCCGTTGGCGGCGGCGCGGGCAGTTTTCGCTGCTGCTACGGCTGTTGCCATGCGGCGAGGCTAGGGAGGACCTCACTTCCCCGGGGTGTAATAATGTTAACAGAGGTAAGGGGCGACGGCGGCCGGTGTTTACCTGTGCGATGGGGAAGAAGGGGCCGGCGCCAGCCTGTCAGAGACCACCGTCTGTCGGGCCGGCGGGCTCGACCCCGCGCCGCGCCTCCGGGGCCCGAGGAGCCGCGGGGATCCTACAAGTGCCCCCGAGTCGGAGCCGTGCTGACTCAACAGCCCGCCACCTCCGGCTCCCGTGCCTCGGCTTTCGCTGTCGCAGCTGGGCGGGCGCCCGGCGCCTCCCACCTCTCGCTCCCTTCCGGTGTCCCCCGGCCCGCGGCTCGCGGCCGCGCTGCCCCTCCGCGTCGCTGCGCTCCTGCGGTGTGCCCAAGGTCTCACTTTGCGGGCTGCGGGGCCCGGCCCCTCCTGGCTCGGGCAGCCTGCGGGGTTTGTCGCTCGGCCAGACCGGTTTGTTTTCCACTCCCTCCATTGCTTCGTGGAGCGGACCTTTTTCCCGAAGCCTCACTTGCCCGGCTTGGGGACAGTCCCCTCCCCCAGGTCCTGTCACCTTTGGCTTACATCGTCCTAGTGGCAAAGTTTCGTTTATCATCTACCTTCTCGATTTGCGCCTGGCCCCTGTGCTGCTCTCTGTGGAACAGTTTTCTCCTTGGACCTGAAATGGAAGTAGGGCAGCAACGACGAGCCAATCAGTTTCCCTTTTCTAGTGCCCATTGCAAAAGCAGACTTTTTGAAGAAGTAATTTGCTTTTCCTACCAGTGGTGCGAGGGAAGAACTGATGTGTTGTAACTGGGTACTCGACCGAAAGTTAGCACGGCCAAGTGGAGTGGTATACGCAGGTGTGGGTGTCATGGAACGTAAGATACTGAAGCTTGAGGATTTGATCAAAGTACTTTCTTAGAGCTTTTGGCTTGAGGTGTTGTGAAGATCTTGATGTCAAGGACTGGCTTGGACCTCTTCCTGGGCTGAACTGGGGAATAGGAAACAGTTTTAATGGGGAGTAGGAAGCAGTCCTCCGGCACCAAAAAGGAAAAAAGTATTTGTAGATGAGTGGCTTTTATTGTGTAAAAAGGGTTGACAAGTTACTTGCATTTCTGAGTCCTTGGAACTTAACTCTGAGAAGCTTTCTATATTGGTGTTTGCTCTTAACCTCTGGTAAGCCCTTATTGGTTGATTGTAATTGTCACAACTTGATTGGAGCAACTAGAAGTTCATTTTATAGTTGCACATCCTATAGACTTCATGCCTGGAGTTAATTTCGTTGTCAGAGACTATAAGTTTCTGGTGGTCATCAGGAGTAGTATAAAAAACAGAATAAATTTCATATTTATCTTAAGTGCGACATTTTGCTGAGGAACACTTTTGCAAGTTTTTAATAGTGTCTAATGTATAATATTTATGAGATGATCTTTTGATAAAGCTTGGTTTAAAATTTAAGGGCTAGTCTCACATGAAAGTGTCTAGTAGGATGCTAGTGTCTGAATTTGGAAAGATAGAACTTTCCAAGCTTTTGTGCTTTAATATAATTTTGTGTTTAAGTGAAATATTTTACACACAAGTCAATGATGATAATAAGTAAACTGCAGTTAAATGTTTTGTGTGTAGTTTGTAGATGTTTGTAATTGTAGAATCAGTATTCTTACCTTAGTTGTTGCTGTTCTGTTAACTATTCTTGCTGCAAAGAAAAGTCTAGATTAACTTGTACTTAGATTATCAGCTCTGGTTTTGAGTACTTTTTTTTATAGATGAAATTGAAGCCTGGGGACTTGTCCAAGGTCAATCATTAATAACATAGTTGAAACTGGAGTCTCTTCCTGTCAGTACAGAGGACTGACCATTTTTTTCAGATGCCTTTCAATGATTAGTATTCACTTTGATAGATTTTAAAATATGCAATTTGCTTGTCTGAATATTGTCAGTAGTTGACATACTAGGAAATTGTCTGTACTTGAAATTAAGACTTTTTTTTGCTTAACTTTATCTTTTAAACAAGGCTTCTAAACTATGTATAAGCAGGCCTGAAATATTTTAGATGAAAAATTTTGCTAAATATTGCTTATAAAAAATTAGTACTGTATTACTTTTTATTGTATCCTTAAGTGCTAATTTAGGTCAGCAGGTTCTAGGACCTACGATTTAATTTGTGAGCTTCTTTATGAAAGATAGCCATATCTTTGTTAGTCATTTTCAGGAAGCATTTTCTATGCACAGAAAGTTGAGAATCCTACGATGTAATTGGTTTGTTTATATCAGTGTTAAAGTAGGTGATATGTTCTGCACTCATACTAGGTGAGAAATCAGACTGAGAAAGTTAAAATGCCAGTTTAAATCATGTAACAGGTTTTAGAGCCACCTTTTATTCAAAGTTCTGTACTTTTTTATGGCTCAGTATGGAATACATTTTTTTTGAAGTCAACACCAATATATCATTTTTAGTATTTTTAACAAGATGGGATACTAAGTACATAGATGATAATAACAGCAATGATAAATATTCATATGAAAATTCAGTTTTGCGTTGGTCAACATGTATCAAGCATCTTTAAACCTTTTCAGAAATGATAAGCCACCTCAGTTATCTATTAAAGTTAATCTAGGGGCTGGGGAGATGGCTCAGTGGAATAAGTGCTTCTCTGGTGAGCACAAGGGCCTGAGTTCAATCCCCAGTTCCACCAAAAAAAAAAAAAAAATAATAATAATAATAAAGTTAATCTAAAAGGAAAAATTACTCAATTGAGCAGAGTAATATGTACATTGAACTTTGAAACCAATGAAACATATTAGTGTGAATTGAAAGGACAGGTCCAGTTATGCATTTCTCATTTCTAACTTTAATTTCAGTTTGTACAGTTATAAATTACAAGTGAGTTATTTACAAAGTGTGGTAGTTGTTTGAATGTACTTTTTTGGTTCATAAAAGGCTGATGCATCTAGTGCATGTGCCACACACAATGCATGCACACCCACCCACGCACACACACATGCATGCAGCGTAATGCCACATAGACATTTTTTCCTTCTGTTTTTGCTTCTGTTAGGACTTCTATAACATTTGGCAAAAACTTTGTCATGGTTCACTCAAGAATTTCATACTTCCTACCTCTCCCATAGCTCAACTTTTTATGTCAAAGTTAAGGGCCTAATATTTATCTGAGAATTTATTTCACTTAGTTTGAATTCTCAGTATTGGAGTGTGATGAATACTCATTAGTGAATTTTAATTTTCATCAACCTATTTTAAAATTTTTCTTAACATTTCAAAAGTTGTTAGGATTATAAATTGGAGAATTTGTTATGAACTAAAGGTGTAGATAGAAGATGTGGGAAAGTAGGCTGAATTGATTAGTGCTGTAGCATGCTGTGGAGGTTCTTGCATAAAAACAACTAGCTTTTTGTCACTAGGCCTGTGCTTTTAAAAGTAGTGGTTACTGGCTGGGGAAATATCTCAGCAGCATAAGTCCCTGCTTGGCAAGTGCAAGATCCTGAATTCAATCCCAAGTACCAAAATATAAATAAAAAATAAAAGTAGTGGCTAAAAAAATGTTATTAGTTGATTGTAAATGTGGGGGCACTAAGTTAATGTTAGATAAAAATAGTTTATGTTAAATAATTTCTACTAAGATTTGTTGTTTTTTAGCTATTAATACTAATTCTTAATTTTGAGTTTAACAGGTATGAAACAGTTGAGAAAATGCATACATTGTAGACTTTTAGAAATCCCAGGCATTAAAAAGGATTTTATAGAGGGAATCAGTAGAGTCAGCCTGGTTCGCCACTATAAATAGGCCAAGCATTGCTTAGTATCTTTTGAATAGCCAAAATAAACATTGCTATTTTTCCAAGAATTTAAAAATTTCTCATTAGTATATATTACATTGATGATCATATGTGTATGCACTTATAAGGTATAATGTGATGTTTTAAAACATGCAGTGTGGAAAGAATATTTAAGTTAAACTAACATCTATCACTATACCTATTTTTTGTGACAAGATGTTTGCAATTTAGTTTTTTTTTTTTTTTTTGATCTGAATGCCCTCAGGGGTGGTTTGGCTGGCTGGAGTGTTGTGGGGATAGAACTACAGCAACCTGAGGCTGACAGCTTTGTGGAAGCAGTCACTTAAACAACTGAGCTAAGACCAGGCCCCCCTAATAAGGTTTATTTTTATTTTTATTTTTTTATTTTTATTTTTTATTTTTTTTGCAATTTAGTTTTTGTTAAGATTTCCATTCTATTTGAAACTTTATAATTTTGACTAATAATTCCTTCTTTCTTTCTTTTCTTTTTTTTTTTTTTTTGGTGGAACTGGGGATTGAACTCAGGCCCTTGCACTTGCCAGGGAAGTGCTTATTCCATTGAGCCATCTCCCCAGCCCCTCCTTCTTTCTTACTAACTTCAACTAACAGTCATTTTTCTCTATATCTCTGAGTTGAGCATTTTAGATTGTACACGTGAGGTCATGCAGAATTTACCTTTCTTTGCTGGTTTTATTTTACTAAGCATAGTGTCGTCCTTGTAATAGCAAATATTCTGTAATTGTTTACTTGTTGATGGTAATTGATGCATATCTTGGATATTGGGAGCAGTACTGCAGTGCATATAGGAAGGCAGATATCATTTGATATATTTATTTATTTATTTTTTCATTTGATATATTTAGTTCAAGTCTTTGGATAATACCCTGGGATTGCTAGATCATGTGGTAGTTCTGTTCTTAGTTTTTGAGCAACTTAACATGTCATTTTCTATAATGGCTTTACAGTTTTACACTACCACCAACAGTGTGCACAAGAACTCCCTTTTCTTCCCATCCCAATACTTATCTTTCATCTTGAAAGTAGCCATTCTAATAGGTATAAAGTCACATTTCCTTGTGATACTCACTTGCATTTTCCTAATAGTAAATAGTTACCCATTTACTTTTATAGTTGAAATCTTTTTTTGAGAAATGCCTCTTCTTGTCTTTGGCCCCCCCCCTTTTTTTTGGAGATGGGGATTGAACTCAGAGTCTGTCATATACTAGGGAAGCTTTCTGTCA